GATATGAATAGTTCAATTAAAAGCAGCGACAAAAAGAAAAGTCTTCAGCCTGGATTTAAAAGTAGTCAGAGTTGTAGCGGACCTGCAGGTTTCTGGGAGTTTGTTCCAGATATTTGGAGCATAATAACTGAACGCTGCTTTACCATGTTTAGTTCTGACTCTGGGGACAGAAAGCTGACCAGTCCCTGAAGACCTGAGAGATCTGGATGGTTCATAATTTAGCAGGAGGTCAGAAATGTATTTTGGGCCTAAACCATTCAGTGCTTTATAAACCAGCAGCAGTATTTTGAAATCTATTCTTTGACACACAGGAAGCCAGTGTAAAGACTTCAGAACAGGAGTGATGTGATCCACTTTCTTAGTGTTAGTGAGGACTCGAGCAGCAGCGTTCTGAATTAGCTGCAGCTTTCTAATAGATTTTTTAGTGAGACCTGTGAAGACACCATTGCAGTAGTTGAGTCTACTGAAGATAAAAGCATGGACAAGTTTTTCCAAATCCTGCTGTGACATTAGTCTTTTAATCCTAGATATATTCTTTAGGTGCTAGTAGGCTGATTTAGTTTTAATGTGACTGTTGAAACTCAGGTCAGAGTCCATGACTACACCTAGATTTCTGGCTTTATCTGTTGTTTTGAACATTGCAGACTGAAGCTCAGCGCTAACTTTTATACGTTCTGCCTTGGCTCCAAAAACCATTACCTCAGTTTTATCTTTGTTTAATTGGAGAAAGTTCTGACACATCCAGTCATTGATTTGTTCAATGCACTTACTCAGTGTTTGAATTGGAGCATAGTCTCCTGGTGAAATTGTTACGTAAATTTGTGTGTCATCTGCATAGCTATGGTAACTTATTTTGTTGTTCTTCATTATCTGAGCCAGTGGTAGCATGTAGATGTTAAAGAGAAGAGGCCCCAAGATGGAGCCTTGAGGAACCCCACATGTCATATTTGTCAACTCAGATGTGTATTTACCTATAGAAACAAAGTTGTTTCTGTCCTTTAAGTAGGATTCAAACCAATTCAGAACTGTTTCCGAAAGTCCCACCCAGTTTTCCAGTCGGTCTAGTAATATGCTGTGGTCAACAGTGTCAAACGCAGCACTGAGATCTAATAATACTAACACTGAAGTTCTGCCACTGTCTGTGTTTAAGTGGATGTCATTAAAGACCTTTACAAGAGCAGTCTCAGTGCTGTGGTTTGGACGAAAGCCTGACTGGAACACATCAAAACAGTTATTTAAATGCAAGAAATTACTCAACTGTTGAAAAACAACTTTTTCAATGATTTTACCTAGAAATGGCAGGTTTGATATGGGCCTGTAATTGTTCATTACTGAAGCATCTAGATTATTCTTTTTTAAGAGTGGTTTAATGACTGCAGTTTTCAGGGCCTGTGGAAAAATACCTGAGTGAAGAGATTTGTTTACTATATGAAGTAGATCTGAGGCCATGCAAGGCAAAACATCTTTGAAAAATCCTGTTGGAATAATATCAAGGCAGCAAGAGGAGGATTTCAGAAGTTGAATAATGTCCTCTAGGTTTTTATCATTAATCTGATGGAATTGTGTCATGATGTCTGAATTGATGTTAAGTGGAGATAGGGACAACACATTTGCTGTTCCTGATGCAGAGGCACTGACTGCTCGTCTGATGTTCTGAATTTTGTCAGTGAAGAAGGAGGCAAAATCATTGCACGCCCTGGTGGATAGAAATTCAGAGGCTACTGACACTGGGGGGTTAGTTAGTCTGTCGACGGTCCGCTCCCTTCATTGGCTTCCGGTAACTGCTAGAATCCACTTCAAGACACTGGTACTTGCTTACCATGCTGCGAATGGATCTGGCCCTTCATACATCCAGGACATGGTTAAACCGTACACCCCAGCACGTGCACTACGCTCTGCATCAGCCAAACGACTCGCTGCACCCTCGCTGCGAGGGGGACCCAAGTACCCATCGGCGAAAACACGTGGGTTTGCTGTCCTGGCTCCAGGATGGTGGAATGAGCTCCCCATTGACATCAGGACGGCAGCACATCTTCCGGCGCAAACTGAAAACTCATCTCTTTCGACTCCACTTCGAGCGATAGAACTATTAACGAAGCACTTTTATACTAATAAAGGACTGGCTTATCTAAAGCCAGTTGAGTAGCACTTGAAATGTTTGGCTCTATGAAACCTGATGTACTTATATGATTCTGTTTTCTTCAAGGTTGTGTCTTCCTGGTCGAATGTACTTATTGTAAGTCGCTTTGGATAAAAGCGTCAGCTAAATGCAATGTAATGTAATGTAATGTAATTAAATGCTTTGACAAAAAATCCATAAAAAAATGTCCTCTGTGGAAGCCGTGGCGCTGTAAAAAGCACGACCAATCATCTGAGCCGGCCCGGCTAAAATAACTGAATGGCCTACCTTCCTGTCAGCCTTCCATCTGTGCACAAACTTATCTCGTGCCCTCATTGGTCATGTGCGCGTTCGTGTGTGTTGGAGGAGGGGCTCTGTAAGGAAGTCTGAAGGAAGGGGCAGATTTCTTCCGGTTTTGTACTTTCAAATTCTAACGCACTCGAGCTGGTTTCTCCATTCTTACCTACCCTACCTTTAACTGTTTGGAAAATGTCTCTCTTGTACTTTGTTCATTTCCAAGAGCCTTTCAAATTAACCTGCTCCCTTCATACTGTCTTGTCCAACAGCCAGAGCTTTAACAAGGAAAAAATCGTCACTGTCCAATTTGAACCCTGTAAAACAGCAGTGTGTTGAAACGGGGATTAATGTTAATTGCCTCGCCTTGGCAGCTCAATGATATTTATTTAAGGAGCGGAGAGTTTTAGTCATTCGACTTAACCTTTCCTGACATTTTCCTTTGCTTCTAAAATGCCATCATCTCTTAAATCTTAGTGGATATTCAAAGAGTAAGATGTGTCTCTAAATCTGACGGTGGTCAGCATTAGCACCTCTGTTTTTGAGGTTTAAGCAGATGCTTGTTTCCTCTCTCAACGTCCCAGCAGCCTCATGGAAAATGTCTCTTCTTCTTTGCACAGTGCCCTTTGGAGGTCCCCATACTGGCGGATAAAACGTGCCCGTTGCCTGTTTTCTTTCTTTCTTTTTTACTGCATCTGGTTCCCATCCTGCTTCCTGAGGTTTAGATTAAACCACCAAGTTTTCCAGCTGCCAGAGAGCCTGTTCCAGTGGCTGTAACTTTGAATGGATGAACCAGAGAGGGAAAGAGGAAGTGACAAAGAGTAAAAGAGAGTGTGATGGAGAGATTTGGGGGTATGCAGGGAGCAAAAGAGTGATAGATAAAAAGAAAGACAAAGAGATAAAGCAGAGGTCCCGTGTCAGAATTCAGCTCGAGTCGGTTCAAGATGAGATCTCACATGACTGGCAGCATGCAGCTTACAACCATTTATGTTTCCCCAACAAAAAACGACAGCAGAAGAATACATTTGCCCTTTCATAATTTGTACTTTTAACTGTTGAATAGATTCTGGAATATCTATACTGTATCATATTTCTATAGAAAAACGTACCTACGTAGGTTGGGAGAAAACCTGAGTTCTCAATTTGAATTTGTTTCATCTAGCGGCCTTTAAATCATTGACAGAGTGCTGGTGACGTTACTCTTCTGGATACTCCACGGCACAAACAAAAGCAGTGTTTATATATTGATGATATTGTAATTGTATTCCATGCCTTGTTAATTGATTTTCAATATTATTAATGCAGGTCTTATTGCATCATCTCTTATTTAATGACTCCAAGCTTTATGTTTGAGGAGTCAATAACTCATTGAATGCTGGAAACTGTTTCCAGAAGTGTGGACAACCACTACACTAATGTGACGCAGGTGCGCTGTATATGTCTTTAGGAACACCCAAAGATGTGTATAGATTTATTGCATAAATAAATTAAACTGGGTAACAGATGCAAGAAGCAGAACCATTTCACAGATTCAGTCGTTACATCTGTTTTGGATGTTTTTCTCCTCAGTATGACTGTTTCAGCTGTACTAGTGACATCTGTTGGAATCAACTAGTAACTTTATATTCAGGGTTCAAGGATGCAAACTCCAGCTAACTGAATGAAAATACCACTATTTATTGCTTTTACGTGCATTGAAGAGGAGCTTATTTAAAAAACATGTCCTGGATTTTTGGAAGTTTGTTTAACTAGCCCCATTTGAATAAAGTAGGAGTCAGAAATGTGGCAACAGTTTAAAAAGCGCATATCGTTGGAAGCACAAGGGTGAAACAAGACCATTGCTTCAGTGGTGCTTTTCCTAAATTCAATATAATTCTGTGATTTCAGTATTTAGGCATGTGCATACTGAATTTGATGGAATTGTGTCCAAGACGGTTGAATGGATTTGCCTGACGATTATTCTCTAGATACATCATATAAACATTTGGTCTATAAAACATTAGAAAATTGTGAAAACTGCCAAAAGTGATGTCTTCATATGTTGTTGTTTTTGTACATAGATATTCGCCCAGTATAGGACAAAAGAAAAATGAAAATACTCAAATGTGATTATCAAGAAACATCTACTTCTAGGCATTTTCTTCTTAAAAAGGTACTTGAACGATCTGTATTGGATTTTAATGTTCTAAATAGTTGCTTATTAATTTACCTACTTATCAATTATTATTATTATTATTATTCATTTAATATCACTGACTAGTCTATTCATTGCTGTTACTCAACTGTTTATGGCTGGAAAAATATCTAACAAAAAGTATTCAGCAGTGAGACAGCCCCAGAAACATCATAAAAAAAGGTCTATTCTAAATCATTGGAGAAATATTTATATATTTGTTTGTTATTTACAGTTAGCTTTATAGTTGTCTTGCTGTCTTGGATTACTTCTTGTATATGAAGATCAATACAAAGTGTATAATCTTAGTGTATACTCGACACACAGCAACTCATGTGCATCAGCTTCAAATATGGTACGTCCTTTCCAACACAAAGACAAAAACTTAAGGTTAGAGATGAATGAGACCCAAACTTCACCTTTCCACAGTTTATTTCCTTTTAAAATAATTCATACAAATGCATACAGTCACAAACATATCTTTGTCAGGTTGTCAGTTTAGACCAAAAATAATGATATTTACTGTAGAATATAGAATATGTATACTGTATATTGCTACGCCTACTACTTTACCATAAAGGGACCAGGGTAGGCAACAGTCGACTGTGTGTCACTACCAGGGATGGAATTTCCAGGAGCACCTGGACACTTTAAAGGCTAGTACGTATGTTTTTAACTTGAGGCAACCATCTCTTTGAATGAGGAATGCTTACAGTTTATATTATGTATTATTTGTACCCCAATTAACTACAGGCATCTGGTGAGAAAAGATCAAGAATATAACTTGAACTATTACAGCCTCTTGGGGCTCTTTTCTGACAGTAATAGTTGAATGTCACCTCAGTGCCTTCTGTACTACAACCATTTAGATCCTGGTCAGTGAGAACTCACCAATGGTTAGTGGAATTTCCATCCCTGATTGCTACTCTTACTACCTCACCATGACGACCAGGTAGGCAACAGTGAACTGTTTTTACTGCTCAGCTGCTGGTAGAAGGGGATCCAAAAAGCACCATCACTTCGCTGTCCTGCTAACACCAACAACATTACTAGACTAAAGGCGGTTATAAATATTCCAGATAACAAAACATGTTTGTATACCTGTTGGCGTAACAGCATCTTGTTCACATGGTGGGAATGTTACCAGTAAAAGCACACATTACTGGGTATGTTTTCTGGCTTGGATTTGTCTAGTTCTAAGCATTTTTTCTTTTTTTTACATAGTGTTAGTTGTTTTTTTGATTGCCAGTCTTTGTAATGATGCCTTATGGAGAGTACTAGCCACCACCCCTCCTCCCAGTGCTGCTTTTTTAGACACAGATACAACCAAGTCACATTGACACAGGCAGGCAAACACCATATGTACACATAGACACAGAAGCCACAGAGGGTGGCTAAACGGTATACTCAGGTAGGACCCATCATGAAATGTTAAAGGGATACTAGACTGGAGAAATCAGTGCGTTCTGACATGCTGTCATGAAATGCTTTACTTTGTTGTCATAGTCATTTAAAAATTCTTAACTAGTCCATTTTGCAGCGGATCAAACATGAACATTTGGTTTCACGAACTGTTCCTCATCAGTCAATTACCATAGCTATCCTTAACTTCTGTGCGAGTTTAAGAAACAGAAATGGTTTGTGCAGAAAGCAAAGCAGTTGAATCAGTGATATATAGAATGTTTGTTATGCAGCCAAGATAATTACTTTTTGTTCCTAATGTACGCTTCTACAAACTCTGTGTTGCCTTATCCACAACCTGTTTTGTCCTTCAAAGTAATTACCTCTCACTTTATCACTATATTTTGTAAACTCAAATGGCGACTAAGGATGAAGTCTTCCCGCCAAGCACACCATTACACCGCCTCCCTACAGCCTTTCTCCCACAACCCCCTCGATTTGGGTCAATTATTTAGTCCCAAGAGCAAAAGTGCATGCCCCTTAAACAAAACAAACAAAAGCAAACATCAGATCAACTTTAGCTCTTGTTAAAGTTATTATTATCTAATGCAGCAGGACATGAAAAAAGGCAAGCAGGTAGAAAAACAAAAGCACTAAGTGGCATAAAAAGGAATTTTTAAAACAAATTATAAATACCATACCAACTGCGGAAACTTAATTTCCTGAGATGGTGTGCAAAAAGCTGCCTCTTTTTTCTTTTCATTTCCTTTTTTTGGGGGGAGGGGGGGGGGGCTTGTAATTTAGGGACACAAAACTAAAACAGATATTGTATTCTGAGACCAGTTTGGCTACATCAAAGATCACATATCCCTTGTTTAAGTTAAGACTAGAATACAACTATCAGTATCTCCATCTCTAAGAGCTGTACACAGAAAGGTTACATTCATTTTAGGGCTGCACGATATATCGTGTCATGACAATAATCGCGTTATGCGCATGCACGATATTGACATCGCAGGACGTGCGATTTTTTCATTTATTTTTTTAAGACGTGCGATATTAAGTAGGCAAATGAACTCAAACACGTCATGTTACAATTATTTTGCTGCTTGCTGCAAAAGGAAAACTCGCGCGGCTCTCAGGGGTAGGGGTACTTGAGTGAGTGACATGCAGGCTCTGCATGCACAGCAAACCACCAATCACAACCATTCTTGATCAGATCACAGCAGGATAACCGAGCTAGCTCAGCTTGTTGCTCTGATAACTTAAGATCCAGGAGTCTCTGACTAAAATCCTTCATCCGGTTAAATATCATTAAAAAAATACCAATTGTATAGCATGAAAGTTCAAGAAAAGATGGTTTGCGGACAAAAAAAACTGTCTTTTCTTCAATTCCTGTATTTTTTCATATCGCAATATATATTATATATATATATCGCAATGTCAGTTTTTTCCAATATCGTGCAGCCCTAATTCATTTCATAACCCACTACTTTTGCTTGTACATCAAACTAAGGAAAGGACACATAAAAAGAGAGAAACACATGAAACCCGCACCTCTAACTTTGGACACACTACAGTCTAAGACAGCATAATGTTCAGTATTCTTTACATCCCAAATCAACAGATTTTATTTTTAACTACTGGCAGAAACGTGACTATACTGTAGTTCTTATTTGAAGATCAACCTGTGGATCTTTACAGTCTTTCTCAGGGCTTTTTGTTGGACCAACAGACAACTATCTTGCTTCTTATTTAGAGCATCTCACAGCTATCCGCTCTTCTTCATCGTCCTCTTCTATGGTCATTTTCTTCTTCTTTGGAGTGTGAACTGGCTGCTGAGAAACAATTTGCCAGAGAGTTGTTAATCGATTGTTATTGGGACCTCAACCTGTCCATCTGACACTCTGTGAACGCGTCTGATAACAGCTTGTCACCAGACCACACAGGCAAGTGTGTGTTTGTGTGTGGCTACAGTTGATCATTCGGGTGCTGCTCTCTGTCGCCCTCTGGTGGCTTCACTGTATTTTGTCCGGGGGACAGGGCATGAGGAGGGTGTATGATAGCGGGCTGGAGGTTGTGGGCCATGGGCACAGCGTTGGGAACGATGCCTTCAACAGGGGGAGGAAGGCCGCCAGCTGGCAGGTTCACCACTCCTGGGGGATACCTGAAGGGGGGAGGGAGAGGGGAAAAGACTAAAAACTGAGTCATCAAAGCACTACTGAAGCTACAAAATGAAATAATGTGACCTGGGCAAATGTTTACCATTAGGCTTCCACTAAATTAGCTTTGCATCACAGGGATTGCTATTTAAACGTACTAGTCTCAAGGATAATAACGAGAAGTGGGATTGGATTTGTGTATTGCATTTCTTCTCCGGCATAAACAAAACTAATTTTCTGATACAATTAGTTTAAATCTTTGGATTATTAAACCACATAAAATTGTGAAGACGGCCATCAAAGAGTCCTAGAGGTTACCTTCAGATATCATATAAGATATATAGTAAAGGCAAATCCTAACAGTAAAGAAAATATAATGAGCAACTTAAATACAGTTACTCAATTATCACAATAGACTATTTGTTTCAGCTTAACCGTCATTTAAATACCGTTTCAGGTTTTACAACAAGCAACATATTCTGTGTTTTAAAGACATTTGGTAAACATTGTATCAATCAATGACTTTACCAGGGTTTGAGAGGGAAGAAGAAACAGCACTGACCACTACAGCTTTCTTTATCCTGATGAGTATTACCTATAAGCACCGTTGAGCTCGGGGTGGACGGTGGCGGGCTCGACTCCTGTCCAGTGGTTGTTCTGGGAGAGGAACTCCTTATTCACACAGTTCTTCAGACTGTCTGGGATACGACCTGCAAAATAGATTAAAAAAAAGAACGAAAGAAAATGTAAGAGAGAAATATGAAGTGGTAAAAAAGAATCAAATGGAAAGTCCATTGTTCTACACTGGGTGTCTTGTTAGTGCTTCACATTTCAAAGCAGGTGTACATTTATTAACCCATTTTCTACAGTGACAAACATTAGAAAATATTGAACAGCCAAATGGTAAAAAGAAAAGATTACCACTTGGGAAACACAAGAAAGAAAGTAGAAGGAAAGGTGGATAAAAAGAGAGAAAGTGGCAGACTGTGAAAGGCCTTGAAATCCTTCTCTGCTAAAAGACAAGGAAGATGGTTTATGCTCGTGTGTGTGTGTGTGTGTGTGTGTGTGTGTGTGTGTGTGTGTGTGTGTGTGTGTGTGTGTGTGTGTGTGTGTGTGTGTGTGTGTGTGTGTGTTGTGTGTGTGTGGTGTGTGTGTGTGTGTGTGTGTGGTGTGTGTGTGTGTGGTGTGTGTGTGTGTGTGTTACCTGTGATAGCCCTCCGGATCTCCCTGGCTGCCTCCTCTCTCATCTCCAGCGATGCCTGTTCGCTGTACCAGGCAGCGTGGGGGGTGCAGATCAGATTGGGAGCGTCCTTCAGCGGGCCCTGACTGAAACTGACACAGTTACAAACAGAGAGCAGTCAGTCACAGCTGCAACAAATGATGTCATTTAGTGTCGACTAATTCTTAAATAATGTGTTCAATTAGGTAGTGAATTCCTTACAAAAGAAAGGATGCGCTGAATTTTCCAAATCCAGTTGTAACATTTTGAGATTGTTGGAACAGTGGAAAGACTTGAGCAACACGGTTTTGTGAGTTTAATTTTTTTCTGTCCAGTTTAATATTTTGTATTTTGTGGACCCGCCCTACACACACCTTGTGAAGATCTGGACTATACTTACTGCACATTTCTAGTTGGTGTTGTAATTGAGTATGCCATTATTTTATAAGTTTATATGTATACGTTTTATAAGCCCTCTCTAATTCACTTTTTTAAGCTGCAAAATAATGCACCCATACAGCTTCCTGGTAGAGAATCTGATATATTCCTTCTCATTCTGAAAATATAGAAATGTATGCTATGCAGTTAGATAGTAGTGTAAACAAACACACTATGTTCTGCCTCTGTTGATACATTCAACAGCATTAATCAGAATTACCTGAAAGGTTCTGTCTCGTGGACATCGAGAGCAGCTCCCCGTATCCGGCCTTCCTTCAGGGCCTGAGCCAGCGCCTTCTCATCCACCAGACCCCCCCGGGCCGTGTTCACCAGGAACGCCCCCTGCCGCATCTTTGACACACAAACACACATTTCCTCTATTTATTTCATCTAACAAATTAAAGCTTTACACCTGAAACATTGTAGTAAGCCTAACTCTTAGACATACACATTGTTCTCCTTTAACATATTGATCCACGTGGAGACATTTTCGTTTCACTTGCCCCTCTCCCGCAAGGTCAGAAATACTTAATGTATTCTTGGGAAGAAAATTGGCTTCAGGCTGAGCCCTGGAGATGAAGGACAAACATATTTCCTGAGTATATCAGTCATGCAGTGCAAGCCGTGGAAAACCTAATTTATCTGTATGAATGCAGTGGGCTTCCCTTGGTATCTTTAATATTTATGGTCATGGGTGTCGCTGTTGATGCAGGGATAAATAAATCATTCAATTGTGTGTATATGTGTCGTGTGTGGGACAGTGTGCGTGCTGCTGTCCCTTCACCTGTTTGATGGTGAAGTCGTTGATCAGGTGGTGGTTGTGTTCGTTGAGGCTGCAGTGCAGAGAGACACAGTCTGAGTGGAAGAGCAGGTCCTGAGGAGAAATACAGGAAAATATGTCAAGGACAATCTTCTATTTACACTCTGCAGGACTTTGACAGTAGTGTTTTTAGAATGCAGTAGATTCACACCCGATTTCAACCAAAACACATTTCTGATCTTTTGTCAAATCTATTCTCACGCATTTTTGGTTGGTTCATTACTGGTGTAACTATAACAAATTCAAGTGTTACAGTATATTTCTTGTTCTTAAAACTGCCCATATCACAGTTACTGAACATTTTCACAAGAGGGAGTCACTCCTTGGTCACATACAGAAGGAAAACAGTATAATGTTAAATGCTCATTCCTCAAGGTGGATGGTGAAGAAAGCAGTTTTTAAATGAGTAACATGCAAATACATTTGTTTCCCCCAGTAAAGTGACGGTTAGCTGCAGCAGTCAAAGTATCCCAGACTTAAAACTGATCAGAATACAAATGTATATTGTGAATAATCCATATTTGTATGAATATAAAATGCTGGAAACATTTGAAAGTTCCTGATTTCTCGGTAAGAAATATCATACCTGATGTTTGTGTGTGTGTTTGTTGTGTGTGCTACCTGTAGTGTGGTGACCCTTTGTAGTCCCAGGGATCTTTCTACACCATCAGCTAAATAAGGGTCATAGAAAATCACGTTGAAGCCAAAGGCCTTGGCTCGCAGGGCAACGGCTTGGCCAACCCGACCTGAAAACACACGAAGCAGCATTTAGACAAATTAAATACAAATGATTAAAAAAAGAAGGGGTTTGATATTATGTGCTTTGAAGTTTGCCTTGTATATTTTCATAATTCTCTGGCTACACATGTCTGCTTAGTTTCCTGAAAAAAGCGTTCAGACTGTACTCGGAGAGATTTGCATTCTGCCTCTGGGTAATCCGCTTATATTTTATTGGCATTAACTCCTTAGGAAGCCAATTTAGCTGAGCTAAGGACAAAAATGGAAATGGGAAGAGAGAAAAAAATGCCTTGATTAGAAAGTCTGACCACCCTCTATCAGACAAAATGAACAAAAATAAAACCTTTTAGCGGCGCTAGCAGCATGGAAACATCAGGCTAGCACACTGTTCAAAACTGAAACTATAAAATGGATGCGACATGAAGTTTAGTACAAACATTCATGTCTCTCAAGCTGAATTTATTAATAACATGTGACAAGTATAAATAACGTGGAAAAGATTTTCCAGTAACTTTAAACCATTGACGTTAATTAGTAAACATGAGCATGCTCACATTCTCAGCTAAGAGGCTAAACATGGTAAACATTATACCGGCTATGCATCAAGATGTTCTCATTGTAAGTAGCACTGCTGCATTTTCATTCAGCCTTACAGAGCTGCTGCCCTGTCTGTAGATTTCCAGGACTGTTTTTACAGCAGTATGTTTTACAGCAGGTCTCACTGCAGAGGCATTACATTGTGTGTGTTGTTGCTCACCGAGCCCTATAAGTCCCAGCGTCTCTCCTCTGATCCTCGCCGCTCCTGACGCCACTTCTCGGATCTGCTCCACGCTCTGAACCCGCGTGCCCTCCCGCAGCGCCTGCCATGAAGAACAACTCATTATTATATGCTAACATCCCTCAGACAACAAAAACACAATCCAGATGTATATTTCTTAGCGGCTTTAATCACTGACAGTCTAAATCCTTTCAGATATTGTGATCATGATTATGAAGTCCACATCATTATAACTGATTTGAGGAACAAATCATTTTACTATACCTTCTACATCTTAGATAAACGTCTTTCAAAGACAGCTACATGCTCAAGAAAATGAAATGTTTCAATTTAGCTGATTTGTCAATAGACGGTTAATATCAATTGACGAAACTAGAATTGTTATAACTAAATATACACCAGTAGCCTCCACATTTAGAGTTAGTTCAATGACATGCAATTCATTTTGTTCCCTTTAATGATCCACAAAAGCACACAGACCTGGTGCAGCCAGGTGGTGCGTCGGTACAGGGTGAGGATGTGACACAGCGTGGAGTCCGCCGTCTCCTCCACCGACGCCGCCGGCATGTTACACACAGCTATGCCTGTTGGAGCAGAAAGCAGATAAGGATTAGTAATAGCTTTTTTGGCCATTTGATGAAGTTTGGTTTAAGCTAGTTTGGCGGAGAAGTGCAGGCATAAGATGTTGTGTCAGCAGTTTTCTCTTCAAACGCTACTGGCAACTTTCAAATTGCACAGCGTCGTGGTGGAAGGAGATAGGAGACGCTAGGAAAGCTCTGCCGCTGCAGGACAGCTTTATTAAAAAGCCTTTCTCACTTCACTTTGAAATACTAAATGTACTGACTTGTTGCAATCCTTATTGGCAGCAGTAAAGAAACAGTTATTTAGAGATTGGTACACTGCTTATGAGTAAACACAGTATACAGTCAATACAACACAGTACTGACAACAAAACTGTCTGATTTGTATACAGTAGCTTGTTGTTTATGCATATTAAAACAGCATATGAATACGATCAAGACTATTTGTATGTATTCATAACATCAACAATGGCTCTTTTTCATTTAGGTGTGCCAGTTATCTAGCCCTAAGCTTGGCTCTGGAACAAATAGAAGGCTGACAGCGTACTGTGAAAAGGAGCTATTATAATCTCTGGAGTTAAATGTTGTCTTATGTCTAAACAAGCCATTTACATGAACTATGTTAGCAAACATTATGGTTTGAGCTCCCTGAGAATACCTAGTATTGCAGGGGAAAACAAAACATAGCTGCCGCCCTTTAAAATTGTTTACACACAATACATTTTATTCATGCTATTTTATTTATACCTTACACCCTTTTTAGGTTCTATTATCTACGTGTGTGTGTGTGCGTGTGTGTGTGTGTGTGTGTGTGGTGTGTGTGTGTGTGTGTGTGTGTGTGTGTGTGTGTGTGTGTGTGTGTGTGTGTGTGTGTGTGTGTGTGTGTGTGTGTGTGTGTGTGTGTGTGTGTGTGTTCTTACCCAGCTCTCCGGCAGATTTGATGTCAATGTTGTCGTAGCCGCTGCCGATGCGGACGATGATGCGAAGACCTTTAAACTTTTCCAGGTCTTCCCTCATCAGAGTGATGGTGTGGTACATCAGAGCTCCTACAGCTTCATTCAGCACCTGAACACAAAAACAGCTTGAGTTGTTTAGATCAGTGGTTCTCAAATGGGGGTACGCGGACCCCTAGGGGTACGTTGCAGTACTGCAGGGGGTACGTGAGATTTATTTTATGTTAATGAAAAAAACAACATAAGTAATGCATTTAAACAAACTACTAATAGTAACTACTTTATTCAAAGGTTTACAGTAACTCTGGATAATAAAATGGGAACAATAAACGGGGTGCTCTCTTTTCCTCTCCCTCTCCTGACAGCCCGTCAGTCTCGTGCAGCTCGCTGAACCTGTAATGAGTGACCCGACAGTACATAATACATATATTTATAACTAGTTTAGCTAGTTCCAGAGTAGATAAACTAGCTAAGTGTGTTAGGTCTAACTCTTAGTGTATTTAATTTTGCACTCAACGGTCCGTCACAGCGGCGGAGCTGTGATCATGCAGAGCTGCGTGTTCTCCGTCAGCAGCAGCTGATCTGATCTCTGATCCCTCTCTCGCGTCCGGTTATACTTCACTCGCATCTATGTCCAAATCTATCAGATCTAGATAGTTCTAGTTAATTATATGACTGCCTGCTTATCAAAGGACACCTAAAAAATAAGCGTTGCTTGGCAACGGCGTGTGGCCGCAAAGTATAGCGCAGCATTATGCATAGGTTTATAGGAGGGGTCAAAATCCCATGCTCATAAAATGCTCATATATTTGTTTCTCTTCATTCCCCACGCCCCAAAATAAATAAATAAATATATATACCAATTATAGGAAAAGTAACGAAGTTTGAGCAGTGTGGGTTTTATATTAACAGTTACACATATTTCAAAACGCGAAGTGTAATAACTGCAGTTTGCCTCCCTGTCAGAATGACAAAGATCCTCAGTGAAGCACAAGCCCATGTTTCACTACATTGTAAGTACAACTTATTAAAAACATCAGTTTAATGCAACTAATGTCGTCTCAGTGTTATTGCATGATGTTAAACTTGGTTTGCCATGAATTTAGTGATGGATTGTAAACATTTTAAATGTAGCATTTAAGTTACAATGTTGTTGTTTTAATAAATCAGACACTGATGGTGCATCGCTGTACTGTATCTCTTTATATAGGCATTTTTTCCTTAACAAATTGTTTTTGCGCTGATCAGGGGATACTTGGCTGAATTTTTTTTCAAAGGGGGTACATTATTGAAAAACGTTTGAGAACCACTGGTTTAGATCATAAATCACTAGCAACAAGTGCGTGTGTGTGACATGTTTGACATGTGATGTTTGACGTATCAAAATCTATGCAGCCTTACTTAACCATGTGTAAAAGTGTGTCTGGTTGCAAATGAATAGAATAGTTCTTTAAGTACAGTAACAGTACATACAGACCAAATGTTAATGTCATTAGCATGTGTTTGTGTAGGTGTGAGCACGTCAAGCGTTTCTCCACAGAAAAGGCTTGAGTGATTTTCAGCAACCAGAGTTCACCGAGTTCACAGTCGCACATTTTCCGTGAACTCAGCTTCTCGGTTGAGGTAAAAAAATGTCCAGGATATGCTTTTTATATCGTTCTCACATCCTGTTTTTTAATATCCCTGCCAGCATGGAAGGACCGCTTTTCCTGAATATTACCATGGAAACTAAGCTTTCTTAACCACAGGAATGGAGATAAGGTGTCTCTGCATCGAACAAAGTGCCTGACATCAGCAGGAATCTTTCTCACATGGTATTCTCATCAGGACTACGGCTCATTGTTTTAATTGAAAAATATTATTATTTAAAAACTGATTTATTATATTAAAGAATAGGAATATAATAAAATCGGAATCAAGTTTACTGACCAAATGATGATGTATTGCTATAATGGGACGTTTTCTATAAGAATTTGTTAAAAATATGAATAAAATGGGTGTATTGGCAGGTAGGTTTACATATAAGAATTTGCTTTGGTCTACAATGTTAAGTAATACTACGTTGTAAAATAAGAGCAAATATGAAACTATTTTAAAACTTAAAAAAAGAATATTAAAAAATAAAGTTAACAAAAAATGTAAATGAACACAGTAAATATATATATATAATATACATATAAATATATATATAGTAAATATATATATATAATATACTAAAAATATGACAATTACTTTGACATTTTTTAAATATTAAGATAAATAGAGTGGAAGACCTGTTAAATGTTCAAGTGCAAAGCGCACACATACAGTACATGGCTGTGTATAACGTATCTTATTCACCTTTGAATTGGTTCCCAGTTAATCGTCCAATATTTTTCCTAACGTTGGCAGCCCTCATCCTCGTGTGTGAGGAGGAAAATGACATGCGGTCCAATTACAATAAAGAAACCCTTTTAATTATACAATGAGGTGGCAGCCTGCTCGAGAGAAAGAGAGAGTAGGAGAGATAGTTGGTGGGCGAGGGAGAGCCATCTGTTTCTGCATCGCCGTGGGTTACTGAGCGTGTGCCTGGCAGACACCCAGAACGAGACGCAGCGCTGCCAGACACACAAACCTATTTACCATCCACAACGGCAAGATCCCAGCCTGACCCACATTTTGAGTCTGCTCTCCTTTTTGATTTTCCTTCATTTAATCAATTTTACTTTATTTTTTTAATGAAATTGCAGTACACACGGTTCACGTTATGTCCAATAGACTGGCAAAAACAGGAGCATTCATGTTTTATTGCAAGATGTTTATGCACAACTCTGCTTGTAATCAAATAATTTAAATAACACAAATGAGGTGCATTTGGTTGTTGTTGCAGTCAGAAACTCCTGATATATCTGACGGGAACCGTTTTTAAGACTTGGTGATGTAACCACGTCATGAATTGTAATTGTAACAGATGAAACATAACTTATTTTTGAAGTAAATGTTGAAATATACAACGTACATACTTAAACGTAACATCTGTGGCATCAAATATATCTGACGGGATGTTTTCAAGCGTTAAATCAAATCACCTCTGATATCATATTGATAGAGCAAACACAACTGTGTGATCAGTGCCGACTTCTAAATCAAACATGTCCCAAAATGTTCCAAAAGAGAAGCATGGGAGATGTATTAATGTTGGATATATTCATATATATTTGATGCATTCCTAATAGAAAACTACACATGATTGAAATATATCGTTATACTCGCTACTCGAACTTCAGGCCATGACAAACTGCATCTTTCTTACCCGGCTTCAAAAGTCAGCCCTAGTGGTTAATGGTTTGCCGATGTGAAGGTTTTTTACAGTTTCAGAGGAATGCAACAGGATTGCAATTCTCAGTACAGCAAGCTTTTTGTTGTACTTCTTCATAAAACATAAATGAACATGAAGAGTCAGAACTATTTCACCTTTATTTTTTGCTCACTACATCTTAGCCTTTCTTACCCTCAGGTGTGCCAAAGCTACAGGTAATATACTTAAATAATCAGTTATCTATCAGCTACGAGAAGTAAGTCATTATCCGTTACCTGATTCAGCGAGAAAAATTCATCCAGTTCATTCCTAGATACAACCTTACTTATTGTGTGTGTGTGTGTGTGTGTGTGTGTGTGTGTGTGTGTGTGTGTGTGTGTGTGTGTGTGTGTGTGTGTGTGTGTGTGTGTGTACATGGTCTCATTGTTACCTTCTCGTGGATCTCCTGTGTGGACTGAGCGTCACAGAAGGCCACGGTTGCTACGTCTTTCAGGATGGGCATCTCCACAGTGCAGTCTCGCCCGTCCAGCAGCGCCACCAGGGGGCGGGGGTGCATGGGTCCGTTCATTATGGGTGGCCTGATGCCTGCACACAAGTAAAAAAAGGAGAAGGTCAGATAGGCAAAATCAGGAGTCAACAAAAAAGAAAATGGGAACAATAGACAGAAAATAGTCTTCATTGTCAGCTTCATTTATTCTAGTGTGATAAAATGACTGCAATTTCCCTTCGAGAAATTAAAAGTCTTGAATTGGAAGGAAAGACAAGAACCTCCAGGCTTATATTAATGTGCTCAGTCATATCTTACAGCACTTAAAAGGTGTACAATCTAAAATGGAAGAAATGCTGTGGCCCCAGGGCACAGATGATGTCTTGTTTTATCTGTATCCCATAATGTTTCTGCTCCAGACAGATGCAGTTGCTATGACAACCTTGAAAGTAAGCATGGAGGAGCAACTGTTTCTGTCATTATTACTTTTATACATTTCCATTGTTACGATTTAATGATTACTAAACATTTGATGAAACAGTAATTGGTGAGATGGTGCCTGTGGTTACTGTTTGTACGCTGGTAGAAAATAGTACAAAAATAGTGTTATGCCTTTTTTATTTCATCCTGTTCACATTGTTTTAATTAAGTACTTATATTATTCATAGGGAATGTAAGTGCTCGCCCCTGAGGGCCATTGAGAGTGACTCATCGGAGCCACCTACTTGTGGAGAAAATGGTCAGCCTTGAACAGAAATAACTGAGCATGCAGCCTGAAGCTCTATTTTGTTTCAATTGTCTCCTATGTAGCTTATGTTGGATAATATTGAGTGTTAATTCACTCACATCCAACAAAATGTGGTATTACACAGCTCAAAAGACATCAAAATGTTACTCAGTCAGTCGACATTGGGGTACAGTAATATGAGAAAGTAAGATCTGTGTCATGAGGGACAGCCAAGACTTTAAATCGGACTGAAATCTGTCAATAACTGAGTATGAGTGAACCCCTTCAACTTCTCTACAGATCTTTATTAGATCATCTCTGCAGATGAAACCATTACCCTGACTGTCCTGGCAGCAGTAACAGGAGGATAAGTGGCATTCAGCAAGGCAGATACTCCCGATGACTCGAATAGTGGGCGGTTCGCCTAAAGAAAGAGCAATAGTCGATCGGAAATGCATTCATTATTTTTCCTCCCACTGAAGTCTGCTTTACTCTTTCGGTTAGAGTCTTTTTCCAAGTAATTGAAGGGTTAATTTCAGATCATTGACTGAGAATGTAGACATTCAGACAGAGGACAATTCAAGGCAGTGTATATCAGTGGGTTTCCTTGACATGCAACGTTTTGACAGGCCTCTCCAACCATATAGATGAAATAAGCTCAGAGTTATTGCTGATGCTGGCTGAACCCATCACTCATCCTGCCTGCTCTCCATCGGAGACGTGCAGGCTGACATCTCATATGAACAGCCATCTACATCTTTTCACTCAGAATATTCACCTAAAACTTTGTTTGCTATATGAATATACAATTCCCTCAGTTTGAAACTTCCCAGTTGCATAGGCTCGCATCTTATTAAACCAGTCTTTCTGAAGTCAGTATTCAACATTATTTTGAATGCCAAAAATCCCTGAGAATTAATTTATTTTATTTTACCTTTATTTAACCAGATAAAAGCATTGAGATAGAATCTCATTTGCAATGCTGACCTGGCCAAGAAGGCAGCAACGTTACACATAACACAAACATATAAAATACAGAGAACATAACTAAGAAAACAAATTACAATTACAATTAAACTTGTGGAAAGAAGGCAACTCCTATCCTGCAAATTAGTTTGGAAAACCCTGGCAGGAGAAATTACTAACACTCTTCCCTCAACAGCTATCATTAAAGGTGGGGTAGGTAATTTTGGAGAAGCCAGCTCGAGTGCGCTAGAATTTGAAAATACACAGCCGGAAGAAATCTGCCACTTCCTTACAGAGCCCCTCCTCCAACACACACGAACGCACACATGACCAATGAGGGCACGAGATAAGTTTGTGCACAGATGGAAGGCTGACAGGCAGGTAGGCCATCCAGTTACTTTAGCCGGGCTGGCTAATGGTCGTGCTTTTTACAGTACTACGGCTTCCACAGATGAACATTTCTTTATGGATTTTTTGTCAAAGCACTTGAGATATTCATTGCTATCGGGATGTTAAGAGCATTCCATGGAATATAACAAAAAGTGTATCTCGAGCCGGTTTCTCAAACTTACCTACCCCACCTTTAAGGGAAACCTATCATGCTATATTTGAATAATATATTGTAGGGCCATACCTATATAAGGTATATTTATACGTGTTTTTTTTTCAAAATACCAAACAGATCATGCATTTTAGCCATGCCTCATTTCGCTCTATTTTGCTCTCCTCCACCCTGTCTTTGCATGCGCTGCAGCTGACCACGCCCCCCTGCAAAGGAGGGGGCTGAGTTACGAGCATCATGTTACCATTAGGGATGCCAGAAACTGACTATGATCAAATTCAAAAATCGGACAGCCCTGGCGAATATTAATCGATTATTCGCCGCCGCGGGAGAAAAAAAAAAAACACACACAAATGGAATTCCGTTGTTTTCTTTTACTGGAAGATGTGCATGGTACAAAAGGGCTTTTCAGGTAGAACAGTACAAAGCAATAGAAAAACATAAACCACCATCATGTAGCCTGTATTAATAATAGCAGCATTGAAATAAATTCAATAAATAGCCTACTTTATGTGTGTGCGTGCATCGCGCATCTTCAAATAAAGGCAATGGCAGGCACTTTAGAACAATAGGCCGTACAATTCGAAGTAGTTCCACGAGGAACTCTTCTTTGAACGTGCCGCTTTGTTCATCTTTAGTTGTGTTGTTCTCACTGTTCTGTATATCGCCAATAAATCAATCGCACGTGTGACGGAGAGGGGGGGGGGGGGTCGGTGTGTAGCAGGCTGTAGCAGGCAGCAGCAGTCTGCACTCTGCGCAGCTTCCTCCAAGTTTACAGTAAAACAAACTGGTGGTGTGACCAATGGCCATTTACAATTATTAATAATATTGCTATTAGCATTAGTCTATATTTTGGTTGAAACTAAGCCAGGAAAAAAAAGAAAAACATAAATAATAATAAAACAATATATAAATAAAATCGAATTTTAAAAATAATTTTCGATTATGGAGACCGCTGGCATCCCTAGTTACCATGCTGCTACCATGCCACGGCAACTTCTCATTCCCCTGATTGGTGGAGAGTTGGCCATATAGGCGGAGCTCCTCGTCGTCACTGACGTCAGACCATTTTCAAATCTGTATCAGTCTGTATCAGACAGTGGTGGGCCGTCAGGGCCAGCAAGGCCTTCTCTGCTGGCCTAAACATCATCAGAATATAAATTTAATTTTGATATATTTTTTCCACAAATATGTATTAAATTATTCCCCATAGTCTATTCTTTTCATTTCATAGCTTTCCTCTTGGTTGCGCTGCTTCCAGCCTCAGAACAAGATTTGGAGGGCTGGCCTTTATGTTAGAGCTTTTATCCAATCATATTTCAGCCATAATGTGTTGCCAGGGTCCAATAAATCTGCCCTTAGGCCTTCAGAATCAACAGTGCGGGCGCCTGTAGCTTAAAGTGAACGGAAACAAAACTGTGGCGTTAACCAATCAGATTTTGAGTTGGCGACAACGGGCCAGCTAGCAGGCGTACGATGACGTCAGCACGTGCACGTCTTTTGATTGGATACGCACTATTGAGAGGCAGAGCTATGTAGAGCTAGCAAACTGAACTTGAATTTGAACGAGCTAATTTGTGTAGATTTCTACAAGCTGTTTTTTTTTCAACCCACAATGGCTGAAGGAGAAGAAGAGATCGATTTGGTCGCAGATATAATTACAACGCCATTTTCAAGACGAACTTTTCAAGAAAAGCTAGACATTGTGAGAAGAGAACGGCCAACCCCGACGCTAGCGAGCCTATCACAGCGGGGGAAAGGGTTTGTCCGCCACTTTCAAATCACTAACTACGAGCGGTACCCCTGGCTCACAGCCTCCGAGAGGAACTGCAAATTGTACTGCTGGGAATGCCTGCTATTTGCAAATGATCGATTTGGTGTTTGGAGCCACACTGGATTTGCAAACTTGAGTTGTCTAACCAAGGCAGCAACGAGACACCAAAGCACGGCTGGGCACTTACAAGCAATGGTGCTTTTGAAAACCTTTGGGGACACCCGAGTGGATCTACAGCTCAACGAACAAGTGCGACGGGAACGGAGCTCCACAACGAAAGGGTGAACAAGAATAGGGAAATATTGAAAAGACTGATTGATTGTGTCCTGTTTTTGGGTAAACAGGAACTTTCATTTAGGGGACATGATGAAAGCGCCGAGTCCAGAAACAGAGGAAACTACGTGGAGCTTCTTTTTTTGCTTGCTGAGAACAACACAGACTTGCATTACCACCTGTCCACAAACAATAATTCAGAATTCAGGTAGGACTGTGTCGGACATCACTGAAGGCCTAGGTGTGAAATGCACGGCCCGCCACTGGTATCAGATCCGTTAAAGCCCCGTTTTTAGAGATTTTGGGTATGGAGGAAAAGAGAGAGGGTTGTGTTTTCTGACACTTGGTGAGTTCCCTGACACACCGAGGACACATATTCATGTATACAAGACGTACAAAGGTGCATTTTGCGTGATAGGTCCCCTTTAAGTGGCCTGTGAGTGAAACAGATGAAAGGAAAAGTCCCTGCTGGAATTAAACTCACCTCCAGCATGTATCATTAATCTCAGATTTGTAGTGCTTTCCAGTCGTTTTAATCATGAACTGTCTATTTCCTGCTTCCATCTTCATCTACAGTATATTACTAGTTCATTACTAGTTCTCCACAGACAGAGCGAGAGTGCATTTAGTTTTATATAAACCTCAATGCAACCTTCTCAAATGCAACACGACATGACACATGCTGCAATGAAATGATTTCATCTTGTATGACTGTTAAGAATTAGTGCAAAATATTCTGGCGAGACACTCTGTTTTCTGAGAGGCCTGACATTTAGCATCAGTGTTTTAAAATAGC